CCCCACTGATGTAGGGCTGGATAGATGCCGTCAGGTCCTGACGATTTAAATGGAGAGAAGCTGGATATTGCCCATCTAATTTTTTCATCGTCTACAATGTGTGTGGCAGTTTGCTATTCATAGACAGATGGGTTGTTTTCTTCCTCTGCCCAGTCGGTCACGTCTATGATGACCCAGTTAGGGAAGTGTGTTGACAGCAGGAGCTTGATGTCTATTATTAAGATGGCTAAAATTATTGAACGGGACTTTAAATGAAATGTATTCTTTTTTCCAGACTTAATCATTTCGGAATTTATTTTATTTCTAAATTAAAAAAAAAATTCAATCTTGTAAGAAATGTGCATCTGATTTGGAGGTTATTGCCACCACAAGCAACTATTTTGAAGAGCTGGATAAATCAACCTGCAGTACCGACATAAAAGGCGTTGAATTTTATTTGGTACAGTGTATTAAGCGGCGAGGAGTCTATATACGTCGAAAAATAAAAGAATTTTTGTTTTTCTCTCTCATAGGTTGAAATAGTAGTTTGTGCAACAAGAGTGAATATGATGGCCATATCGCACGAAGACGAAATTTGAGCACGACGCCGTAGGCGGAGTGCTCAATCGTCTGAGTGCAATGTGGACAATTGACTCGATTTGTACAGTATATGTTTTCTACGACCCACTAACGAAAATTTACAAAAAAAAAATATTTTAGGTTATTAATACAAAATAACTAATTTATAACATCATTTGTGACTTTTAATTAAATAAAATAAACAAAAAAGAAGAAAAAATTTCATTTCATTTTCCCCATCCGAGCATCGAACTCGAGTCTGCCGTGTCGAAGGCAAGAACGCTGACCATAGGATCACCAATTCTTTTATTTATCGATTCTACACATGAATAACCCATTTTAATGTATATTTAATCTCAATAACTAAAAAATATACTGACAATTAGTTTGACAGAATTGTCACTTATTTAAAATTTTAAAAATAATAGCAGTCTGTTGATCAAAATATGAACGGTGTATTTCATTTTTTTGCAGTGTTCTTACTACCTAGAATGGATATAAAATATATTCGTTCAGTTGAAGGCAATAGCATACTTTTTCATTTTGTAATCTGTACGTAGATAAGCTAATATCCATTTGGGTGTAGAAAAATTATTTATCCCTTCCTCGTATGTACCCTAATTTTTTAAAAATACAAAAATTGTTAATCTGAAAACTTTTTTAAATGTTATCATGACCGTGTGCCTAAAAAAATAGTATTAAAATTAGGATTATAACTTTGGAGGGTGACGTACTCCGAATTAAAATTAATGCATTTATAAATTAAAGAATATATTTGTGTCTCAATTTAGTGAGAAATATTTAAAACTCTCTCATTAACTTTTAAAAAGATTGAAAGAAATTGACGTGCATCGTCCATATACCGATTCTCCATACGTTTGTTTATAGTTTTTCGACGACCGACTATTTATGATGTATTTTAACGCACTCTAAATCGTTGATTAATGACCCCTATTAATTATTTTCTATTAATCAACGATTTTATTATATGCAACCCAACGTACATTGTGCTCTTAATATTCATTTATATCGATAGTTACCTATGGTGTAGGCAACCAAACATACATATACATTTCAAATCAAGAAGGTGTGTTTATACTATCTGTCATTGTAAGATTTGTAAAATATCTTTATTTTTTAAAAATACAGTCGATGGAAAAGTTCTATAACGATCTCATGAATTAAAATGGCGATTAAAAATCTCAAACATTAACGCGCTCGCTCTACTTGCGCGTTAGATTATCTCGATTGTTAGTAGCCCTTATTAATACACTTGTTCGTTAAATAACCATTATCTTATGAGGACGAAAAGTTAGGTTTTTTAGGCGACTACGAGAGGTTTTTCAGGCGACTACGAGAGGTTTTTCAGGCGAGACGTAGTTTTCCTATTTTTGAAATGAATTATTACTGCGCCATTATCTGGTTTTCAACCAGTTCTCTTATCACTTTTTGAAATGAGAAATGTTATTCATCAATATTACAGCTCCGTCCCATTTTTGTGAATTTGAAAGTTAAATACTGTGATAGCTCATTTACCCTCTGAATATTATGAAAGATTCTTTTGGTTACTCACAGTTCTGATCTAAAAGCAAGATTTAATCAGCTTATTTCACTTTTTATCTTCACATTAGACAAAAGAGGATAAAAGAAGAGAGGCCAGATGTATCAGATCAAGCGTGTAGGGGTGCCTTTAAAAGGAGCCGCTTACGCTACCATTTTTGTGAAATTTAAACTGTACAGTCCATCGATTCAGTCCAAAACTCAACGTGAAGAGCTCAATCTGACTCACATCTGACCTCTCCGGATTGATCTGTGATGTTTCAACATTTTGAATATTTTTAATTGCACAGGCCGCAGGCCATGTCGGAAAATGTACCGTGTAGGGTGGTCTTTTCCTAGAAGACAAATACACTACTAGTCGTATTGGTCTTGATTATCAATACTGTTCAGTTGTATTTGCTTTGTGATCATTCAGTTGCCAAATATCTTAAAGTTGAATCTGGAAACGTGTAAATGAAAACTCTCAATCCCTCTACGAAATTTCGAAATACATCCCCAAAACCCCAAGGTGAAAACACCAATTAAAATTTGAAAAAAATTGAGTAGAAAATTCTGTTTAAGTCAAGGATCTAACCTGAATCTCTTACTTCTCGATGCCTTTACTAATCAGGCATCTGAAGAACATAGCTATGACGATCAAATTGTACAATTTGACGACGTCAGATTACAATTCTAATGATTACCAAAAAAGAAGTGTTGTCTTGCATCAAATGAGGTAGTTCTGATTTTTTTATGAGTTGGTAGTGATGAAACGACTAATGAAAAATCCGAGTTTTCCACCTCGAAAGCCCTTCGGATCACAGTTAAATACTTAAAAATTCATTAAAATTTAGGAGTTTTTCAGTTTTTGTCAATTTCTTCCACCAAGGACCTACGTTATGACAAAAGTTACTATGGACACTTTTAAGTAGATTAAATTTGCAATTAAATGACAATAATTTACTTTTGGTAGGCCAAATATTTTTTAAGATAAGGCTATTTAAAAGTTTCAAAAAAAAGGAAGTACTACAGTTTTTTTTTTTAATTTTCTACAATTCTTACCCCTAAGTAGTGGGTTTATTGGAAAAGTTACTACAAAATGAGACCAATTATGTCAATTTACACCTGATAGTTCCTGAGGCACAGCTGTTCAAAGTTGTTGAGGTAAGTAACCAATTATGTAATTTGGTTTTGGTAGACCAGATAGTTTACAAAATTTCCAAAGTATCACCATTTTTTTTATTTGTCTGGTAAATTTTTACTGAAGATGTGTTTTGTTTTTACTTTTATGTAACAAAAACTAAAAAAAGTCCTAAAATTTAAAGAATTTTTTAGTATTTAACAATGATCCGAAGGGCTTTCGAGGTGGAAAATTTGAATTTGACATTACCATCTCATCACTACCAACATATATAAAAAAAATAGTACTAACACATTCTCTCCCCCTCAGCTGTCACAATCCTCGCTGGATTCACCAATGCAGCATCAGTGTAGCCAATTCAACTGTTATTTGCTATGATTACCTAATTAAGAGGTCTAAGTGCGGTCCCAGACTTGGGTCTTTAGTTTTTTTGTTTTTTTTTTTTTTTAATTCCTGACTTGTATTTTACATTTTCAAATGCTTTCATTAGTTTTAAAATCTTTAACCGATATTGTCTCATTTCTGTCTCCATATGAAGTTCATTCTAAAATGATACTTGAATGAGTTTCATTTATTTCTTTGACTAAATGACCTGAATAATTTATTTGAAGAACCTCTCCTTTATTTCAATTATTTTAAATTTTTTCCACCTAAAACTAAAGCTACAGCCATGTATTTTAACTACTTTTAAAGGGGCCTAAGACGCTACCATTTTTGTGAGATTTAAACTCTACAGTTCATCGATTTAATCCATAACTCAACGTGAAGTGCTTAATCTGACTCACATCTGTTCACTCTTTTGTTCTATTTTGTCTAATGTGAAGATGAATAGTGAAATGAGCTGATTAAATCTGGCCTTTAGATTAGAACCGTAGAGGCCCTACACGCTACAATTTTTTGTGAGATTTGAACTGAACAGTCCATCGATTCAGTCCATAACTCAACTTGAAGTTCTCAATTTGACTCCCATCTGGCTGGCATTGGCTCTCCTCTTTTATCTAATGTGAAGATAAACATTGAAATGAGCTATTAAATCTTGCATTTAGATCAACACTGTGTATTTTGGCCTGCAGGCCATATCAAAATATGTAGGGCCATCATTAAGACTCCTTACAACTGCACATACAAACTCTTCTCCTTCGATATCGTCGAAAGATTGATGAAGTGTTCTTTTATCAGATATGAAAGTGAATGATGAAAAGGCTGAGAAAAAATTATCTTCAGATAGACTTTCTTTTGTAAGATTGCATTGTCGGTGTGTTTTTCTGTAGTTTCTCTAGCCTTTGCGAAAAAAATCCATCCTAACAATAGCTCATTTACAGATTTTTCGTCCACCTGCGCTATTGCTTGTGATATTTTCTGAGGGGTTCTTTGTTGCAGCAATTTAAGCATACATTTCATTTCCAGGAAGAGATTATATTTTTAGTTTCTTAACCATTTTTTTGTGTAATTTTTTCTTATGTTTTTGGATCCTTGACCAAACATGTTTTTGCTCTGTAATTAGCTGAATGTTCTAGGCTATTGTTTGCACATTTTAAAACTATATGCATGCTAATACTGTTGGAATTAATTTCCAAATGATTCCTATTTTTTTTATAAAGAATAACTTTTCTTTATAATGTTTCCCAACTTAAATAGACACACTGTATAAAAAACTTAACCGGTCTACTACGTTTATTCGATTTTAATTCAAGTACTCAATTTGTGTTCTATCCAACCCATCAAGATAACCACTTGTTTATTCGTTCTATACTTCTTCCAGCTCGGAGTGGTTTTTCTGGAACAAGGAAAGGCGTCTCAAGCCTTAGCCTATTTAGACAAGGCTTTGGAGTTCGATCCCGAGCACGAACAAGCATTGCTTAATTCGGCCATCCTCTTGCAAGAATTCGGGCGACCGGACTTTCGGAAAATTGCCAGAGAGAGGCTACTCATCCTTCTGGGTAAGGATCCCAACAACGAAAGGGTCCATTTCAATCTTGGAATGCTAGCGATGGACGACAAGAATATTGAAGAGGCAGAGAATTGGTATGTATTAAACGACTCTTTTTAATTAGAAGCTTAAAAATATATTCCTTGCAATTTATTGAATGACTAGTATTAAATAGATTGAGAATTTATACAGGGTTGAGCGCCTCTATTAAACAAGTGACAAAAGAATGTTCAGACAGATCGATTTTGTCATTCATACGTATATTTTTTATACGGTCATCACTATTTGAGTTTTGACGTTTGAAAAATACACATTTATTTTTATTTCCCTTTATTAATAACGAATTTTTATTGAACAATTAGTAAAACATTGAAATAGTTGATACTATTTTATATTTACTTTGTAGTCTTTTTAGACAACTAATATATTTGTGTCGTAAACATAATAAGACACAACAACCGAACATTATCCTAATATCATTAAAAAAATTAGATAATAAATTTACAAATGGATTACAACTCCAAGATTAACCGCAGTCAAAGAAAAACAATTGCACCGAGCTGCAGTAGAACTCGACTGGCTGTACAGTATGACAAATTTGAGATAAGTGAAATGCGCAGAACATAGAAATAAATAAAAGAACACTGACCATTTTTATAAATAAAATATTCCCATATTCACCTAAAAAAATATAACATTAAAATTAAATTCTTTATTTAAAAAAAAATGTAATATTAAACTCTATAGGGTTCTGCTCGTCTTTTAAATTAATTTAAGCTTTCTAACTTAATAAAATTCTAATAAAATTTGCCTGTAAAGGATAGACGCAGCTTGCAGTAAGTGAAGTAGTCACACCTTCTGATGTTGCTCTTGTATATAGTATTTAAACATGACGATAAACATATTTAAAGATAAATTGCAATCCGATTTGCCAGTACGCATCTAATTCTGACCATCTCAATCTTGTCGTATTGTTCATAGAATCCATTTCACGAGAGAAGAACCCACCTGAAGTTGGTGTCGTATGCGTCAACGTGTCCTCATAACCAGCACCATATTATACATTTGATGTTTAATTTCAAATCAGTGGCGTAACCATTTCAAATTTAATGCTTTAATAAATATAAATATGGAAATGTTGTTAGTCATTTTCACCATTCTAATACAAGAAATGTTGAAATAAAAAACGCCATTTGCAAATATAGACTCTATTGAATATTTAATATAGAAAGGAATGATTACTTTCATGGTTTTTATCGCATAAATCATTCAAATGGTCAGTAAATATGCTATTGAATTAGTGGGTGGAATGTGGAGATAGGGGTGCAAATACAACCCTTAGAGTTTTTTGATTATGTCTTGGAAACGAAGCATAATTCAGGTACAGTTAATAGGAAATGTTTTGTAAATGCGATTTCACATCGAATTATTTATTAAAAATTATAAGAATAAAGAATTAAATAAAAAAAATAGAACTAAATAGTGTACTGCTTCATGAGCGAAGCAAAATTCATGCAGTTAATATGAAATTTTTTGTAAAAGATTACGATTATTTCACATTAAATAATTTATTTAAATTTTATTATGTAAAAAGAATTTAGGAAATATGCTCTATAGTACTATATTATTTTTTTTTCCAAAAAGACTACTAAAAGACAGTATATAAATTCGTCAAAGAATACATGTAAATTCTAAGTGATCTGGTTAAAAGTAATAAATTACATTATTATACATAGGTATTATATTTTTTTATTCTACTGACCCATGATTTTGTAAAGGAATTTGAATTCCATGTTCAGCTTCTGCTTATTATTCCTTTTATTATTTCATTTAGACCAACAAGTTTTTTAGGAGGCATGTTTTTAGATAAAATAAAACAAAAAACGCTCACTTTTAAATGTCTTAAAATAGTCGAAAATCAAAAATATTTAACAAATAAACGATTCCAAAAACACAACCTCAAATATCGTTAAAAAATTAATAAATGGCTATTGGCATACAAATGTTCGTTCTACTCCAGTGGCGTGACCCTCTCTTTACTAAGCGACATAGGTAAACAAGACAAAATTTGGCTTCTGCGACTGTCATTGTTGTAACTTCAGCTGACTCCTTTCGTGAAGAGGATTGTGCCAATCTTTCAAAAATCTCACCTATTGGCCCACCGACCCAACTAAGATTCTGGATTATTAAATTTTTTCGTTCTAAGAAAAATTCTACCAAACTATATACAAATATACAGATTTTTCTGCAGTAATCCTTACTCTAAGATAAGTGATAGTGTTATTCTAAAAGAAGCCAAATCGACTCTAGCAAATTAGAAAACTATAACACTCAAAACGTAAAATCAACTAGATGAAGAACTGGAAAAGTTTATAGTGGAAATTAAGTAAGCTGCATAGAGGAACAGAATACAAGTAAGAATATTAATAATGGGAAAAAACTATCCTGTCGAAATAAGAGAACTGGTAGCAGAAAAAATGACAGATGACAAGTTCGCCAAAAGATAAAAATATATTAAACATGTCTACCAAAAGACTGAGAACATTTAAAGTTTCTTTTGTAGCAACCACCTTTTCCTACATCCATTTATGTTTTCGTTTCTGTTGAATTTTATCTTTTTTTGACGGTAAACCAAATAAGAAGAGAGGGTAGAAATTATGTATGATTCAATCTTCCACTCTTACACACGTAAATGACAAGGAGATGTTGTCCTAAAGCACTGTAAACAAATTCCAGGATTGGCTTTGTTCAGCGATTATATTCATGTTTAGCTTTGCTTTTTGTTTGTGTTGTGGATGTTGTAAGCTTTTTTGGCGTCAATTCTTTGTTATCTTGCTCTTATTTGTGATTTTTTGTGCTTTGATTTCGATTTAGTATCAAACTAATACTTGTTAATTATTTTTCGATGCACTATTTTATAATTGTTGCAAAAAATGTTGTTAAGCCGTCCCTGAATCTTGTTTACAAAATTATGCATAGTGTCTAAACCACATATTTTGATTTTCTTTTACTATACGGAGAATGGTCGCACTGCGCATCTTTCTGAGTGCCTTTTAAAAGGAGATAGAAAACTCCGCCATTTTGAACCCTTATTACGTGTTGCCTACATCTTGGCGCAATATTTTTAATAGGTGCGTTTTAATCATCCGCTTCTGCTTCGGAATTGTCGGTTTTCTTGTTTTAATCTGACAGGTTAAAACGACTAAACCGACAATTCCGGAAGCAGAAGCGGATGATTAAAACGCACCTGATATTTTGCTTGCGTCAGTGTCAGTGAATATTATTTTTGAAAACACAGTTTATTGCTAAAGAATCAGTTAGCTCACTCGGACCAGTTGAAAGTTCCAAAATAACATCCACTCCAGGGATACAAATTCAGGATACGCAGAAGACTGCTGTTTTATTATAGGCGGTTGTCATATATTGTATTATCCGAGTTGCACAGTGTATAAACTGAAACATTGAGATCAAAAGTGCCGACGCAGAGTGAGCGATCTGATTCTTTAGCTGTAAACTGTGTCACAGGGTTCAAAATGGCCGCGTCCTACGTTGGGCGTGTCGGACCTCTCTCTTGCCTTGTATAGTAATCAAAGTATGTGGTCTAAACTTTTTCATTGACAGTTATCAATTTTACTTCTCTCCGCTTCATTGCAGGAAACGCAGAAATAATGTTTTGAGGTTAATGTAGAAAATGTGTCATACATTAAGTTTCATTATAAAAAATTTAATTACTATGTGGTCTAAAACTACATTTGTATGAATTGGAGCTGTATCTATGTATCTATTCTTAATTTGTTAAAACATTGTATATTTTGATATTTCAAAAGTTTTTACAAGTATCCAACAAAATGGTGAAACGATATAGTGATCAATCAAAAACTTTAATTCTAAACGTTTCCTATTTTAAGAGACAAATCTTGGAAAGTGGTACAATCAAATGGCTACAAAGGCATTAAATATTTGGCAGGAAACTATAGACGTAGTAAATCATTAAATTATTATACAGAGTATGTGAAAATAATGTCTAAAAAAGTAAGCCAAAGTAGAACAAAAGTCAATTCTTTAATATTAAGTAAATTGAGGTAAGTTATAGGGTGACTGCTCCGGTTAGGCGACCACTTCCTATTGTCGGCCGCTTTTAACTTTGTATGCACAAAATAAAGTTATTCTCTATATGTTTATTCATATAATTTTTTATCCCTTTTCGGCCATATCTTACCTACAGTTGCGCCAATCTATATGTAACAGCTGCAGAAATTAAAACTACAATTTAACTTCTAAAAATGGTCACCTGTGAGAATCTGTGTTCAATTGTGGTGTAGTGCGAAAAGTGTAGTGGATACCTACCAGGTTGGAAAATAGCAACTACCTTGTTTCTTATTACAATTTAGATGTGGTAATGTACACAAAAATTTCAATTATCCGATTCTCGGCCAGGGTGGCCGAAAACTGGTAAAATTGGTCTACTTGTTGAAGTCTCTTTTTGATATTAGTTTTACATATTACCTGTCTTATTTCATCCTCTGGTTCTCAGGGTATATAGCAAACTACTGCAAGTTATCCGCCATCTACTTATTGTAAAAATGCGCGCGAAATATAAATATTTGATATTCAGTGGCCGAAAAGAAGAAAATGGTACTGGTTTTCGACCTCCTATTTAAAACTTATATAATTTAGGTGGCCGAGAAGGAGGCCTTTTCTCGTCCATTCGTCGTCGACATGCTAAGAATCAATAGGTCTATTTTTCTTTTCAGATGGCAAGAACAAAAAAACCTGGACAAGGATTCTTATGTGCGAACTCACCACGTTACGTGCTGAATAGAGAGATACATTACACAAGAATCGCATTCTGTCGACCGAAGATAGACTTTCTCAACAAGTAACGAATTGAAAGATGAGAATCCCACTGCAAAGACGTTGGAGAAGCAGCCTACTAACAAATCGCAGGAAAGAAAATTTTTCTCGTATTCAGTTGACGCGTTAAGAAGGGCTCTTATTGAAAATAGAGAAAATAACTCAAGTTTATCTTAAGGAAAGTGATCCGTACATTTAAAGTACCCCGAACTACAATCCAAGACAAGTTAAAAGGAAGATCTTTGGAAAATATAACGATAAAAACGGGACAAAATCGCTAACTGTATCTAAAGAAGTTAAGACTCAAGAAAATATAGAAAAAATAATAGATCAAAAAAGTGTACCTAAAGAATATAAGACTAATGAAAATAGGGGCAAACTAGATCAAGAAAGTGTACCTAAAGAAAAAAAGGCTAAAGGAAATAGGGATAAAGTAATAGATCAAGAAAGTGAACCTAAAGAAGAAACGATTGAAGAAAATAGGGGTAAAATAATAGACCAAGAATGTGTACCTCTTCAAACTCATTGTTCAGAAAAGACCCCATCAGAAAATACTACAGATCCTTCTGAAAATTACTTGCGTTTTTCAGAAGCTATTAAAAAAATCGCAAATCAAGGTGCCAAAGGATATCCTCTCAAGCTTGACGAGATTACTACTCAAATAAAGAAAGGCAAAAATACTACCTAAAATTAAAAATAGTGCAGAGAACAGCAAATAAGGAGCAAAAAGAAATAAAGAAGAAGGTAGCTAAGAAGGGTATAAAAAGATCTAGAACCGGCCACGAAAATTCTTTGAATGCAAATGAAAATCCCAGTGAAACTCTTACCACTGAAAAAGAACATTTAAAATGTACCTTATCAGTGACGCAGAGGATGATCATGAAAAAAATATTGGTTGTTACCATGTCTACTGCTGCTACCACTTAAAATGCACAGCGTTTTCTGAGTTAAGACATGAAGTCGCTTCGATAAAGTGTGATAAGTGTGATTTGTGCACATACAAATAAGTTTTTATTGGTTCATATTTTAAAAAGTTTTTTTTTTTTTTTTTGTTTAACCAAAGAAGTTTTTGTGTGATTTGTATTTTATATTTTAGTGATAAATAAATATTGCCTTCTGATTTTTTTTACATTTGAATCTTTTTTACTGATAAATTTACCAATCTCGCAATTTTCTGGATCTTCTTCCAAAAATATGGGTGGCCGCATAAGCGGATCATCAGCGGTCGGTAATTGGCGCATGGTGGCTGAAAACAGGAAAAAGTACACTTATATAAATTTAAGAATATTTAAAAACTACAACCCATTTAAAAGGATTTATAATTATTAAACAGTTTATATATTCCAGCCTATTCGGTAAGAATATCAAAACAATAAAAATCTTAATAATTCTCTATCGAAAAATTTTTATTTATATAAAATTCTACTACGGTCAGGAAATTATCCTTATTCATATAATTATAAATAATTTGTTAATTTTAATGTTAACTCTATGAAGTCAATTGTTCCAGCCTCGGCTTATTATTATTTTAAAAATTAGTTAGTTTGTCTTAATAACCTAAAATATTTTTTTATTTGTAAATTTTCGTTAGTGTGTTAGTGTTAGAAAAAATATATTGTACAACTCGAGTGGATTGTTCACATCGCATTCAGACGATATGGCCACCATATCCACTCTTGTTGCACAAACTACTAGAAAGTTAATACGTCTTTGTACTTTTTACACTTTTCCAGTGCTACAAAATCAACGTCTCATTTTATATTGTACTACAATATTCGACGTCAATGCGAAAGAAATTGCTTGTTTAATTGGTACTCTCAAACAATTGTGTCGCCATTTGAAAAAACTGGTGATGACGTCGTATTTCGTAAAGTGACGACGCGACGTCATAAAAAACATATACCTACGTATATTATAAAAAATGCAAAGCACTTTTTGTTACTTGTGCAATACGAGACTGCAACTTCAATTTGTTTCAAAATCCATTTACACTTTTTACATGTTATACATTGCTCGCTACGTTATTACAACTCTGCAACGAAATTGAACAGCATTAAAGTTGTAAAGTTGATTATATTTTTTTATATATGAATATATCTACGTATTTAAATTTCACAGGTTTCGTCGAGCAGTCCATCTGAAAGCAGATTTTCGAAGTGCCCTTTTCAACTTAGCCCTTTTACTAGCAGACGATCAACGGCCTTTAGAAGCTGCGCCTTTTCTAAATCAGTTAGTCAAATACCATCCTGATCACGTAAAAGGACTCATTTTACTTGGAGATATTTATATTAATAATATTAAGGATCTGGATGCAGCTGAAAATGTAAGTAACAGTATTTATTTATTATGATTTTTTAATTTACTATTTATAGTAATATATTCTCTATCTAGTATTTGCATGTAGAAAAACTTCCAAAAATTGAATATAATATCAAATAATCTTTACTTATAAAAAAATTACCCCAATATTTGTCAGTAATTTATTAAATTTTAAAAAATCTGAAGCAGGTCCCCAAAGGAAATATATCTTTTTCCAATATACAGGAGGATGTATAAATATGAATATTTCATAGGACAGGTGTAAAGGGGGATATGCGTAAAGGGTAAATGACCGAAAAAAATTATACTCGGTATATGTAGTGAAAGTACCAAATATGTTCATATGGATTGTCATTAGGTATCGTAGAATAGGGTGACTTGATAAGATTTTTGACACACTTACATAGATTACGACCAGGGCCGCCGAGAGCCAAGTCGAGCCCCGGGACAGTTTTCCAGGTCAGGCCTCGCGACGATTTTATAAAAAAATTAAGCCTTCAACATCACATTTCTAAAAAAAAGGTCTTCAAGCAAAAACTTCTCCTCTTCAATGAATTTTTTAAAAACAAAGGTCCTCAAGCAAAAACAAATGACAAAAAGCCCTCTTGTGTTCTTGTGGCGAACTTCAAAAAAAAGCCCTCATCTAAAGCTGCCGGGCCCCTTTTATGCCGCTGCCGGGCCCCAACTTAAGCCCGGGCCTCGGGAGTTAGTCCCGGCTACCTTCCTCTTGTCGGCCCTGATTGCGACCTTACTATACAACTTTTAACCAAACTAAAAATAGTCACCAACTCTTTCGACCCTAAAGAACAGAATGATACATTAAAACCGTTTCTATGTAGTGTAGTTTTCGAGAAAAAAAGTAAAACGTCATATTTCAAGTCACCCCAATATGGAGTGACTTGAAATGTGACTTCTAATCGACAATTAATTCAAGTAGGAATGTCTAGGTAGTGGCATGAAATTAAAATTAAATAAAAAATAGATATAAATCATCATTTTCATGAAAAAAACACTGGGTTTTAGAACAAATATTCTCTTTAAAGTAGATTTATTGTAAAAACACATAAAATACAAAAAAGGTAAAAAACTATACACTTTAAATAACTAGACACTTTTTTTTCTGTCCTGGGCTCGTCTGACTATGTGTCTCCGAATAACACTGAAGCCTATTGGCTTATTGTGTTTTACCCCATGCTAGTTTATAGCACCCACTCTGTCACCTTTGTACCTTGTACAAGTTTGTACAGATCATTGGGTGAGCGGGTTCTATACGTTGTTGGATCAACCTGGGGTTGTCCAAAAAGAGCCTGTCTTTTGCGATCTAGAGCTTCGCATTCGCACAGTATGTGTTTGGCCGTTTCTGGTTTCTTGTGACATAGTCGGCACATGAGTTCTCCATTGTACATGCCATTTTTCCAATTTTGTTCAAGTGTCCCTTTACTGGGGCGTGCCCAGTCATGAACCCTGTTATTACTTTCAACTGGTTCCTATTCATTGAGAGTAGTTCACCAGTTCTTTTGGGACATGGTCTGCCTATGAAGGCTTTTCCATGTGCCTGTTTAGACACTTACAACTAGACACTTACACATGCACCTTCGAGAGATAAGTACGGTAACTAGACACTTATAACTAAAATCCAGGGAACTTCAATGACCCTCTTCTTAATATTGTTGGAGACTGAAGTTTCCCTATAATTTCTCTTTTATCAACCAATGATTCTTCCTGTACTGGAGGAAAAATATGTGTACATTCTATTTTAGAATGTGGTCTTAACCCGGCATCACCCAAGTGATAATTTTGTGCATCATCAACCAGGTGGGGTCTGATGGACCCTGACTTTAAGATTATAAAAAAAAATATTTTTTTATTTTTTATTGATATTTTTGTGCAATAGTGTTATGTTTATACTTATAACTTAAAAGAAAAATACGCGAACTTCATAAGAATTAAAAATTTATTACAATATTTTCAAAAAACCAAACATATCAAAATTGAGGTCTGTAAAAACCACACAGGAACAAAAATTGAAAAATTAAAACACTATTCTTAAAAATAAAAAAAAAAATGTGAAAATATCAACAAAAATGTTCACTCTAAAACAAATTAAATTAATGTAGTAGCCAGAAGAAAAATATTAAAACGAGCCGTCAAGCAATTGGCTGCAATTTTGACATAAAAAAATGCATGTGTTCTAAACACAAAAATATTTCGCACTGTTCACAGGAATATTTTGATGTTCTATCTTTGTTCCTGGGGCACTCCTGACATCTACCGCGTCCTGTTCTTTGTATTTTACGTGAAAAAGGTTGTGTTTTACCTAACATGTTAGCTATTTTCGATCGAAGTTCTCTGGTCAGTCGGAGATTATTTTTATTTACAACCATATATGTAATATTGTCATTACTAACGTCATTGAAGGTTGGGAGGTGTCGCATTACACACCTCACTTCCCGCCCTTACTTCCCGCCCTCACTTCCCGCCCTCACTTCCCGCCCTCATTTCATCAATTCTAGATGAATATTTTTTATATTTAAAAAAAACACACTTTTTTGACAAATTTTATAATACCTATTTAATGGCAAACAATAAAAAACAACAATGAACTAAAATACAACAAACTACTTATTGATATTTATTTTTCGCGAATTTAATATCCGGCTTAATCTGACATTTATTTATATTGGTGACAGTTGTTTACGCCGTTATCACAGTAACAATATATTTACTTGATTGTTCTGAGAAAAACACGCGCTTGGTAATTTGTCGTTAAATGTAATATATGTTCAGAACGAAACAGAGAGTTATTAACTTTGATCGAAATATAATGGTTGTAAATAAAATAATATACAAACCTCGGTAGGAAGTTTCATTCCTGTCTCGATATCATAGCTAACCTCGACGCTTCGCGTCTCGGTGATCTAACTAATCTCACAACAGGAATGAAACTATTCCCACCTCGGTGTGTAATATACTATTTCTAAATTGCATAGTTGATTTTAACAAAGCCAGGTCTAGCGCCTTTAAATAATTTTTACGTTTTTTTAAATTGTCGTTAGTGTTAGCCCTGTAAATGACGACTATTAATTCCTTCTGCATCCATTAGAGAAAGATATATTCTCAATGGCCTTATTCTGCAATTCCGAGCAACACTGAACTTTCTGATAATTCATCGACGACATCTACACCTCCCTTGGTAAAATTGTAAAAGCTGACAATTTCTGCTAGGTTTTTATCCCCTGTCGATTCATCGATCTTGTCATCATGATGAAGAGAAGAAAGTACAATTACATTTTTACCCGTTTTCGGCACATAGGATACCATTGTAATATCTTTCTGGAATACAAACATTGAACTTTTAGACTGTCTTTGCTTTACTTCTAACAGCGCTATCGGTATCTCTCGCTTGTTTTTCCTAAGAGTTCCTACCGACATTAAATTATGATTTTCACGTAAAGTACAAGTTCATAGGAAGTGTACCAGTTGTCGAAGGTGATGTTTCGATTACTACCAGAAATCGGTGCTACCAATCTTTGCAAAATATCAACAGGTTTGTTACTCAATTGATAAACCCCATCTGTCTGAGTTCCTGCATAAACTTCCATGTTAAGCACATAAAATGTACCAGAATCCACCATCACCTGGATTTTTATTCTATATTTAGCTGGCTTATTAGAAATAATTGGCGGAAAGAGCAGCGTCCTCGAAAAGACTATTTTTTTTCAGCGATTTTTAAATACTGTCCCGGAGTGTATGTTTGTTGGCAGTTTGAAACAAATTTCTCAAACACACCCCGGATAGCTACAAGTTTATCTATTTCCAAGCGTTCTTGTCGATTGTCGACGTTGTCAAAGCGTAAACACTGAAGCAAAAACATAACTCTATTGAAAGCCATTACTGAACGAAATATATCGACGCCTGTTCCATTTGTCTTCCACAGGTCTTTTAGAATGCGACGGCTATTTCTGTATACACTAGCAAGGTACAGGATACCAAATAAAGCCTTTATTTCAGTAACATTGGTATTTCCACAACACTGTTTATTTTTATAACCTACAGCTTTTTTGGCGATCATAATATTTGTGCAATGTGTAATGCTATCAAGTATTGTTGAGTCAAACAAAAATAGCCAGCAATTCAAGGGAGTTTTCGTACCCTTAGCATAGGGTTTACATCCTGGTAATTTTGTAATTATATTTTCTGTCCTAATTCGTACTGCTATTGCTACAATGCTTGAGCCATTTTGTAATACCGCTTTACCCATATAATATTTGCCTTTGTGATCAGTTATTTCTTGCTCAGATACTTCTTCGGCATTTTCGGTATCATTGTCTATCATTTCACTATCAGAATGATAACTGTTGACACTTAAATTATCTATTTCATTGTCATTTTCAGAATCTGGAAATTCTTTATCATCATCTTTGCATTCCTCTCAAAGCGCCATAAGTTTTGCCTGTTCTTTTTCGTAATACTGTAAAATAAATTACATTGTTGTAAATGGTATATTCTTAATTTATATTAACGTAATCACTAACATTACTATGTAAACTTGCAGTTTTACAACACAAACGTTTTATTTCAAAATGTTAAAACCATACGCGTTACAACCCACGTGGGGTCTCTCAAACCTCGACGCACTTTATCGCGTTGTTCCTCGATTGCTGCCCAACTCAAGATTAAAAGCGACTGTCGTTGGTCTTCATATACATATTTTAGGAAGCTAGAGGCAACCAGAATAACATGCATAATATAAAACAAAAGTTACAACATAATTAAGTTTACGGGTGGTGCGGTCGACCCCACCTGGGTGATGCAGCGTTAAATATGAAACGACAAAGTAATCATTTTCGGTAGCAACGATTTTTCCTACAAACTTCTTGGAGATATTCATTGCCGATTTCAGTTCGACTAGAATAAAGTCGTTCTCCTGGTAGTCACTTAACGAGGTTTCTGGTTCCTCTTGATCCGTCTCTTTGGTTTCTTCATTTTCAGCTACTGGTCCAG